AAACTACATGGCACAATGAAAAACACTGAGAACAAATGAAATCAACACTAAATATAGTCAGAAAAATAGGAAACATATCAACTTTATATCTCTATAATTAAATATTTATATATGTAGGGAATAAATGCTTTAGAAGAAAATGCTTAATTAGAAAGTATAAAGTTTTATAAAATAAATACATGACAACAGTGCATCTAAAATACACAAATAAGCATTTAAAATCAGGCTAATAGGTCTTATCCAAATATAGAGAAATATTTTTGCCATTTAAAAGCATTAGGATTGTTGACTAAGTCTTGACTCAAGTGGGATCTAATATACTTTCTCCTGGTGTCTAATTTATCAAATTTAAGTTCTTGAGGTATTTATTCTCAGAAGTAGATTTCATTGTTTAAAGATTTCTGCCTTTCATTAAGTTCAGATATCAATATATTTGCAGTTCTGGAGATATAAATATAAAACATGTTAACATCCTTGTGGTTTTGGATAGCTATTAATGGTTTTTTTTTTTTTTTCCGTTGGGTAGAATTAATTTGTTTATTTTCAAATTGGATGAAATCAAATAACCTTGTCTTTGTTCTGTGTCTTTTGTAAAGTTGATTAAGGACAACTGAATTAATAGTTACACTGCAAGGATGGATACGACCACAAAGAATGGCAAAAGCATTACTTTAAAATTGATTCCGTTTAAAGATTTTGTAGTAATAAAAAGAAGTGATGGGACTTTCCTGGTGGCACAGCGGTTAAGAATCTGCCTGTCAATGCAGGGGACATGGGTTTGAACCCTGGTCTGGGAAGATTCCACGCACCGCAGAGCAACTAAGACCGTGAGCCACAACTACTGAGCCCGTGTGCCACAACTACTGAAGCCCATGTGTCTAGAGCCCGTGCTCTGCAACAAGAGAAACCACCGCAATGAGAAGCATGCTCACCGCAACCAAGAGTAGCCCCTGCTCACTGCAACTAGAGAAAGCCCACACGCAGCAACGAAGATCCAACGCAGCCAAAGAAATGAATAAATAAATAAATTTTTTAAAAAGTGATAACATTGTTAAGTCATATATTACTATCCTTGTAAAAGTTGTAAGAAACCATTAATGAGTAAATCTACATTTGTTAGCTAATGGTGTGGTACAACTAAAGATTTATCAAAATAAAAATGAGGTCCATATACATGTAAAATCAACTCTTTATCGTAAGTATCATTAGCAACCATAGAGCCCCAAATGAACTCTTGAGGGTAAGGCTCTTAAAACAATAACATTTTAAGTACATAGCTATTACAAACCCATTTGATATTCATTTTACACTTGATCTTAGCCAAAAGGCCGAGAAGCGATTGATATTCATTTTAATTGCCATGACTATAATGAATATACTTTGTATTCAAACAGATGTCACAAGTACTACTACAGAAGTTCCAATATAATTCAGCCTTAGTTAAGAATGAGTAAATGGATATTTAAAATGGAACGTTACCAGGAAGGAGGGAAAAAACCAATTACAGAAAACATCAGCTCCTTAAAATAGCAAATTAAAGATTCGTATTAAATTGTATTCTTTCATACTTGGACACATACAGAATACAGTAATACAGGAAAACTTGCTATATCAACCACTCCTTTTCCTTGCCTCAGCTGTCTACAGATTAATTAACCCTGAAAATAGAAATTGGGATATGAAAAATGACTAAGAAGAGTAGGCTGAAATTCACTTTACAATGGTCTACGAAAAGGATTTTTAAAATACCACTATGCCAATTTATTTTAGCTGGAGGAACAGGTAGTTATGTATGCCATTTTATTTCAGTTGGTCAGACAAGTTCTAATATTCCCTTTAATCTTCTCCCACACAGAGGACTGATGCCTTAAAATCCAAGATGAGAGGCCTCATGCCATAAATTAAAGATGGTATTTTTCAATGTACGGTTCACTGAATGATGCATGGATGTTTGTTAAAAGCAAACATTCCTGTGCCCCAACCAAGTTCTCCCGAGTCAGAATCATGGAATCAGCACTGTGACGAGCAACCTGAAAATTCTGACGTACACACTTGTTTAAAAACAACTGACTGAAGGTTGAATGAGGTAATATTTAAAACAATATATTTGTCATTTCATTCCAGTCAGCAAACATTTATTAAGTCTGATCCTATGTGAGTAAAAATTTGATACATGGAGGGTGTCCCCAAAGGCAAGAAGCATATGATAACATGATTTTCAATGCACAGTTTACTAAGTATAATAATAACCTGCAAATGTCTGCAAACACAAAGAAAATAGTGTGCTTACTGTACAGATTAACAATTCACTCTTGATTTCAATTTAGTAGTTCTTCCTCTGAAAAGGTGCCTGGAGGTTGAAGAGAAGTGTGTTTAGCTTATTATGAGAAAACGTAATGGAAGTATTTTTAAAAACAAATTTATCCTATTTCCTGATGGTTTTGGACATCCTGGGTTTCCAAAAGGAGGGTAATAAGTGTGTGAGGCTTCTTGGTGGATGGGGGAAGGCACAGAGTATACCAATGAGGGAAGGGAAGGAATGAACTACAAGACCAGAATCGCTAAAAGCAAATTGTTTCTCTTACCTCTAGCCTAATTCTCCTGGTGCCTGAACTGTACGATAAACTCATTTGGAGGTTGCATTGTGTTTTTTAACGACGAGAGCAAAAATTCAAACAGTAAAAGTTGACTTTGGAGTTTAATAGAAGAATGGAAGAAAATAAAGAAAACAAAGCTGATGGTACCAAGTTATTTTTCTGGTCAGCAGTTTTCCCTCACACCATCCCCTCCAGGACTGGAGACTGATGGACTGGAATCTTTGGAGTGAACTTCCACAGGGAGCACTCACTCATGAAACTGAGGGCAGACAAGCTGATGGGGTTCACTAATTGTGCCTAGTGCTCCGGATTTTCTATAATCGTTGGTTGACTTTTCTTAGCACTGGAAATAGGATCCAGTAAAAATAAAATAAAAGGCTGAAATAAGTGAAGGGGGATAGAAGAACAGTTGTAGGGACCTTCAGGGATTTCCATTGCCCACAGCTATGGTTCTCACAGTGGTCTCTAGACCAGCAATACCATCATCACCCAGGAACTCATTGCACTAGCACACTCAGGCTGCCGTAGCAAAATACCATCGGCTGAGTGGCTTAAACAACAGACATTCTTTTCTTACAGTTCCGGAGGCTGTAAGTCCAAGAGCAAGGTACTGGCCAGTTTGGTTTCTGGTGAGAGTGCTCTTTCTGACTCTTCCTCTTTTTATAAACCACCAATTCAGTCAGATTAGGAATCCAACCTTATAACCTCATTTAACCTTAATTATCTCCTAAAAGCCCTGTCTCAAATACGGTCACATTAGGGATTAGGACTTCAACGTGTGAATTTTGGGGGACACAATTCAGTCCAAAACACTCGTTACAAATGAAAATTCTGGAGCCCCACCTCAGACCTATGGAATCAGAAATTCAGGGAACGAAGCCCAGCAGTTTGTGTCTCATTAATCCCTCCGGGTTATTCGCATGCACACTAAAGCTTGAGGAGCATGGGCCTCCAGGGAGAATTCTCAGCATTGCACTTAATTTCCTCCACGGTTTCTCCCATTTGTACTTTCCAGCCTCATTTCTTACTGTGTTTTGACACGAACTCTGCTTCTGCTAAACTACTTCTCACCGTGGCCTGAAAGATCATTCGTGTTCTGTCCTCCAGACTCTTGTTTACTCTCACCAACCTCGAATTGTCTTTCAACCTCTTTAATGAAGCATCACTTCAACATCCCAGCCACAGTCATGTCTTCTTTCTCCAAATAGCAAAAGCATAATTGTCTGAACCAATCATTTTCATATTTTACAGATTTTACTTTCTTAGAGTTCATAGGTTATACTTGTCTGTAATTTTAGCACAAGGCTTTGCACATAAAAGCACTTAAATCTTCAAAACATTATAGACTGTCCTGCTTATAACTCTTCTCTGTGACTCCCTACAACACTGGCCCCAATACAACACTAATTTGGGGCATCAAGCAGTCCCTTGGTCTCTGACATAATGCCACTTCCAAAGTTGTTTAATAATAAAAAAAATCATCAATATACTATTTGCTCTTTATTAAGTCCTTAAGTGCATCAAGACTTAGGCATTTAGTATATTCCCTGATCAAATTCTCACAATCACCCTGAAACAGGCATTATGATCCCTCTTTGACTGAAAGACACTGGAAACTGAGGCAGAGAAGTTCAGTGAACTCCCCCAAAGTCACATACGCGAGAAGCAGCAAGGCTGAAAAGTGTGAACATATGTTTCTCTGACTCAAAGCACATGCTTTACTTCTATGTTATACTATAGACAAAGAGATTTAGTTTGCTGTCAACGTAATGAATTTACTGCCAAGAATCCCAGAGTGTATGGCTCTTGTGATAAAGATACTTCCAATATACCCTTTGTAAACTATCTTCTTTACCCCCAACACACACACACACACAAGTCCTGAAGCACTGCTAAAAGTAAGCCATCGTGGAAAAAAAGAGCAGACTTCTTGAGACCCACAGATACTGTTAAATGACTACAGACAACAAACAGCTCTAAGTTCTATCGCTCTTCTATATGCTATTTACCTGCAGACAGCCTTCAGAATTCTTTCATCTCTATGTTAGAGACAACTGAAGAACTCAAAAGGAATTACTTGAAAGTTCACAAGGAGCTTTGATAAACTTTTGCCCAAAGCAAATACTGCTAATTACGCACTAGAAGCACTGACACACACACACATACATGCATATAAAATTTTTAAATCGCTAAGTTAGAAACAATGGAATTTTTCTGAAAAAATGGTATTTCTTAGCTTCCTTCTCCAGAAAGAAAAAACAAGTGGTCATATTTTACTTTCACAGCTGCCCGTGCTTTGAAGACTGGACTGTTAAGAAATAAGCCACACCTGTTGGACTGTTTAGGTAATTCCAATCACCAGCTAAGATAGTAACTAAAAGTAACATTCCATTCTCAGCCTACCTGGGGTGTTCAACAACCTGGACATCTTGCAGAAATAGGAGATGTACTGCTCACAGTACTCGGCGCTGTTGGTGATGGCGCTGATCTGGTCCATCGAGGCACTGTAAACGAGCTGTGTCACCGAGTATTTTTCTGGGTTGTAGCCCACCACCGTCGTCTGCATCTGCAAATCATGAGACACTATCGTCCACACTTTGTCCTCTGTGGGGAGAAAAATGCCACGACAATGGGTCATTAGTATGCAAATGCATCTTCAAATGTCAGAAAATAAGTGAGCTATAATTTCACTGGTGTTTTCCCTGAACTGCTGTAGAACAGAGCTAAGGATAGTAATACTTAAAGTAACCCCTACCCTTTCTCACACTTAAGTTCTGCTTATATAGACAGAGTAGAAAAGTAATATTTTTTATTAAAAACAAACGCAAGATAGCTCCTGAAAATGAAACCAAATAGCCTGAGAATCTGGTTGATGCTCTAATATCTGCAGCATTGAATGTGAGGCCCACTGTGTTCCAAAGGCTTCCCGACTCTGTAATCCCTCACTCCTTCCGTAGAACAGTATTTGCTCCTTCCTAAAGGAACTATGTGCTCTCAAGTCTCTGGATCTTTGTACGTGCTGTTTGCTCTAATCAGAATATGCATACTCATCTTGTCAACAAATATTCTTTTCACCCTGACCTTTCAGTTATAATTAGATACTGCATGCTCTGTTACTGAAACGCTCTACACATGTGGAATGATGCAAATAAGTAATTATCTTGGTGTTTTGGACCCTGAAAATTTCAATATGTGAAAAGGAGAAGCATATATAAGATTGATGAGATTAAATTAAAATGCTATATAGTTCTGCATTTGAATTAGAAGCATCACTATGAACCCAGGATGATGTTATCTTTTTTAAAATGTAGATATATGTCTTAGCTCTGTCCACTGAAAAAGTTCCCAAACAAGGACCAACCTCTGGCACCCGACTGTCATTACTCAATACCACTTTCCATTAAGAGAAAACTAAGCTCCTGGAGAAATGGCTGATTCAGGGCTGGAAATGGATAAGAGGAGCCTGGAACATATTGTCACTTCAGAAACAAACTACTAGAGACAGAGAGTGGTTCAAAAAACCCCAGGGCCAAAGAAGGATGATTTTAATTAACATCAATAAGAATTTCCTGCAATGAATTAAAATACAGCAAGTATATTTAACTCCATGAATTTGTACAAAAAAAAGAAATGTCTAATTTTGGAAGATGCTAGGTAACTAACTCATTACTTTGAATATTGGTAAATAGAGGCAAAGAATCCAGCATTTAGTCTACCTTAGCTATATGAGGTGTAATGTAACTAAATACTTTCTTTACGGAAATATTTCAGCTCATAAATGAAGGCTAAATGATAAATGTTTTAACTTCTAACAAGTTAGTAGGATCTAAGTAGGATTATTCACGGTCACTAATACAACAAGTAAAACCGGAGGAGACATGCGTCCTGGGGATCAGGAGGGGCAGGCAAGTACACAGGCCTACCTGTGGAGGGGTGTGGACAAAACTCAGAGGAGAATTTCACCAAGCTTACAGACCTACCTGCCAACTTCTAGAAAACACAGGGGAAAGGGGAACATGTTAAATGTCACCAAAGGGAAACAGCGAAATCCATGCTGTGGAAAACTGTATACATCATACAATCTAGTTTTTCAACAGGTGAGTGATAAATAACAAAGGAAGAGAGAGAGTCACACACACAGGAGAGAGACAGACGGAGAGACAGAGAACTTTAGATTAAGAGAGATGAGAGATGTCCTGAACTTGCCCCTCCTGAGGTCTTCCTATTTCAGGAAATGGCAACTCCACTCGTCCAGTTCTAGGACAAAAGCCTTGGAGTCGCTCTCAACTCTTCCCTTTCTTCCACCTCCTCCTGCAGCCTGGCAGTGACCCCCGCCTGCTCTACCTTCAATAATTATTCCGAATCTGGGCACTCCTCACCCCACCCCCCACCACTGCTCTGGTCGAAGCCCCAGGGCCGCTCGCCTGCATCCCACAGTAACCTCTAACCAGTCCCCTCTTCCCACCCTTGCACCCTCACGCCTACCTTCAACACATCAACCAGGCTGAGGTTTTCGAGCACAAGTCAGATTCTGACACAGCTCAGGGTCCTCACATGGCACCCGGTCTCGTTCACAGACAAAGTCTAGTTCTTAGAATAGCGAAAGACCCTCCGAGATCCGGCTCTTCCTTGCCGCCCTACTAATCTCCCCCTTGCTCCCTTGGCTCTGCCTCCTTGGAGACTCGCACTTGCTCTTTCCTGCATCTAGAGCCGTCTTTCCTCAAGCCCACTCTTTCTCCAGATCTGAGCTCCAGTGACAACCTTCCCTTCCTGAGTCCCACCCCACCACAGATGCTCTCCATCTACCCGCCCAGCTTTGCTTTTCTCCATAACGTTTATCTCTATCTTAGGGCACATTTAAATTATTTTTAAATGTCTGTCTCCCACCATTAGAAGGGAAGAAAGCAGGGATTGTTTCAATGCTATATGCAATGTGTTTAGGATGGTAATTGACATATAGCAGGTCTGCAAAAATACTAGTTGAATAGAAGAATGAATTAATTAAAATAAACAGAATACAAATACTTAATCTAGGAACTTTTAAAAATCGCTTTGGTTCAAGTTCTGCCGAGACTATCCTTAGAGACTGTGGACAGGCCACTTCACTCCTCTGAGCCAGAATCGCCCTTCATCTGTTACAACATGGCTCTCTATGAAGACTTCCCAGCGTGCTGTTCTTAAATTGATTAAAAGAAGTTCAGTTATGGTGTCCCCTGTAGTCATTTTCTATAGATAATTGTTTTTCCAGTTTTGTCTTTGGCCTGATCAGAACTGCCTTCCTTTAGTTCCTCTGATACAGCAAGAAAAGCTACAATATATTTTGGTAATTCTGTCACTTTCTGACATGATTCTGAAAACAAACTGATGGTCATGTATATCCAGACCTTCAGATTTACCTTCACCTAATTAAAAATTCGTTAATTGAATTAGGTTACTTCTATCACTTTTCTGTTACAATAAGTCTATGGCATAGAATTCTCAAATGTTTGACACCACTGACTTTTTCCTCCCTCCCTCCTTCCTCTCTTCTTTCTTTCCCTCCCTCCCTGCCTCCTTCTTCGTTTCTTTCTCGTTTTCTCTTCCTTTAACTTCTGATGGAACAGCATTCTAATCTGACCCTCCTTTAAACATCATAACCCCCTTTTTATATATACAAAATAGGTTAATAAAGGCAAACATTAACTAAGCAAGTAAAACAGAATGATCACCAATTATGGTCACTGTCAATAACTTTAAAAAGACTAACCAATTTGTTAATGTTGATGAATCTCTAACATTTTGGTCCTGGTGACTTCTTGACCCTAAACTCTAGTTCCAGCCATCTCAGCACACACATTTCATCATCAAAACCCTCCCTGTACATTATATCTTTATATTTGTTTTATAGTCCACTCATTCATTCAACAAATATTATCATGTACCTACTTACTATATGACCAGTACAGATCTAGGCACCATGGAAACCACAGCAAAAAAAAAGCATTCATAAATTTTTGCAGCTTACATTCTTACATTCTAGTGGAGAAAAGACAACAGATAATAAGCAAAATTAAAAGAATACACATATATATATATATATATAGTTAGCCAGTGATAATGGCGAGGAGGAAAACTAAATTAGGGAAGGGAAGAATAGGCTGTGTGTACAGGGATTGCATTTTTAAACACAGAGGAAACCATAAAAGCCCTGAGAAAGTGACATTTCAATAAATAAGGTAGCTATCCAGCCAGCCACGTAGATGTCTGGGGAAAAGTATTCCAGACAGAGGGAATGAAAATGCAAATGTTCTAAATCTAGAATATTCCGGATGTCCTTCAGGTATACAAGAAAGCCAGTGAGTGACGAAAGGGGAGAGGAGCAGAAGTTGAAGGTGGAAATGTAATGAGAATGAGTGGATTGTGACCTTACAGTGAGGTGGAAAGCCACTGGCTTTGGAAGGTTTGGAGCAAGTGAAAGTAGTTTGCTTTAACTTCATCTTTGACATACCATTCTTTGCTGCAATAAAATTATACTTCAGAGGGGTTTGAAAAATAATATATATATGTACCTTTATAAAGATTTAAAACTTTCTACAGTGTCATGGCATTATAAAAGGTAATATATAAGCTCTATTTTGATAGCATAAAACAATTACTGTTGATGCATCTTACAAATTATTTGTTAATGCTTGCATATTACACATTGCGATGGCTCCTTTGGAGCTATTAAATCTTAAATGACAAATGGATATTAACAATTTTGCAGATATCCAGCATCTAGAAGAAAGTTATGCTGTATAGATTTTTCTTCACTAGTATCATAAGTGGAAAAATTAAAAATCTTATTCCCATATTCACAGCGTGTTTATACAGCATGTATTGTAAGATATGTGTGTAATGCAAATAAAAACTAATGTGTATGGAAAGTTCTAATTTCTGGCACTGTCCGTTTTCATGAAGAAGCAATTGATAAGCTAGTGTATTTCAAATATTCTTTTTGGATCAGTGTGCTATGAAAATGGCCTTTGTGATTACTTAGTGCTTAGTATCTGTCGCATCATGCAATTACATATTTAAAAACTGTCACATTGTACATTGTTTTAAATATAGCTGATTTAATGATATGTTTCAAATACTGGGGTACATCTGGAACATACTGTGGGAATACCTCCCTCTCCTTGGCATTTACAGGGTCCTCAAGATTACCCAGCTTAGTTGTATTGACATATGTACATTAGAAAGGTCGCTCTGCTACCTGTATCAGTGACCCCATATCCTTATCCTAACTATAATTCTCAGGTAATTCACTTCATGAGAACTCAATTCCTGGCACAGTTGGAGTTATGACCAGGGCCTGATAAAGCCAGGAAATGACCAGTGAAGAAGGCAAAGAATTACTCCTCCCAGAATATAACCAGTTTCTTCATCATACATATGGCTTTTCTTTGACTCTTTTCCATGTTATTTATCCATATATAATCTGAAGTTCACATTACAGAGCAGGTCTTTATACAGCACATTTTAATTAAAGTCCAATCTGAGCTAAATCCAGTGGAAAAAAATTTTGTGTCCCATACATCTGAATATGCATCTAAGTGTTTCTGATTTTCAAGCAGCATCATGGT